AGCCCTCACTGAGCCTTGACGGAGGGGGACATGAGCCCAGGGCATGCTGGGACGCCAGCGATGATGAAGACAGGCCTCAGTCTCCTCACTGAGCCCTCACTGAGCCTTGACGGAGGGGGACATGAGCCCAGAATGATGAGGGCTGGGATGGGGGAGGCATGGGGGACGCCTAGGGAACTGTGGGGGCTCAGCTGGAGAGCCAGCAAGGATTTCCTGAAGGAGGAGACATTTGAGTTCAAACTTGAGGGCTCTAGTAAATGGATGTTACTAATAATATTGGTGGAGTCCTGGCGTGGTGTTGGGGGTTCATGCGCTGGACTGCAAAGTCAGTGTGAACCGTAAGATCAGCAGTTCAAGCTCACCAGTCGCTCCTCAGAAACCCTATACAGGGTCGCTATGGGTCACAACCGACTCAATGGCACTTAATAACAACTGTTACTACTAATCTTGAAGTCCTGGTGTAACCCTGTGGGATCAGCACTGGACAGTTAACCACAAGGTCGGCGATTCAAACCCACCAACGGCTCTTGGAAACACTACTCATGGTCGCGATGAGTCAAAACCAACTCAACTGCACTTAACAACAACAACAACAACAAGGATAAGCATTATCCTAGTTGCTGTAGGATAAGCACTGGATTGCTAACCAGGAGGTAGGCAGTTCAAACCCACCAGCCACTCAGTGGAAGAAAGATAAGGCTTTGTGTTTCTGTAAAGATTTACAGGCTTGGAAACCCTATACAGGGTTGCTATGAGCCAGAATAGACTTGATGACAGTGAGTTTATCAGTAATATTATTACCTTAATATAAGGTTGGCAGTTCAAGCCCACCAGCCACTCCTTGGAAACCCTATACAGGGTCACTATGAGTTGGAACTAACTCAGTGATACTTAACAACAACAACAAGCAAGGGGACCCTGGTGGCACAGTGGGTTATGAGTTGGGCTGCCAACCACAAGGTCAGTTTGAATCTACCAGCTGTTCCGTGAGAGAAAGATGAGATTTTCTGCCCTTGTAAAGATTTACTGCCTTGGAAATCCTGTACAGGGTTGCAATGTATAAGACATTAATTTTGGAGTCCTGGTGTGGCGTTGCAGGATAAGCACTGAACTGCTAACCACAAGGTCAGTGGTTCAAACTCACCAGCCACTCCTTTGAAACCCTCTGCAGGGTCTCAGCACTTAACAACAGCAACATAACTCATAGAACAAGAGGATTTCACTTAGGGGCGACTCAATATTCATTTATTCAACAAATATTCACTGAAGTCCACTCTGTGCCCAGCCCTGTGTAAGGTAACTGAGGACACTGTGGTAGCCTGGGCCCTGGCCTCATGGGACTTGTAGTCCTGGGAATGAGGAGAGAAAGGCATTAAGTAAGACATTACATTAATAAATTGATGCCACCAAATGTGATACACAGAATAATGAAGGAGGTTAACAGAGGAGGGTGTTTCTTACTTACACGGTGGATCAGAGAAAGTTTCTCTGAAGAGGTGGCATTAGATCTTGACTTGCTAAATGAAGAACAGAGGGAATGGCACTCCAGAGAGAGGGAACAACATGTGCAAAGGCCCTGAGGTAGCAGGGCTTTTCCTGTTTGAAGAACAGGCAAAGGTAAGTGTGGCTTGATGAAGAACACAGATGAGGTTGGAGGCTGACAGGCCGTAAAAGCCACAGGGAGGAGAGTGGACTTTAGTTTAAGGACTGTGGAAAGTTAAGGAGGGTTTTGAGCAGGGTCAGATGACATGATTTGATGGGCCTTTTTAATAGACCGCCTTTTGGGTGAAGCTCACTGCTTCAAACCTGATGCCTAGAACAAGGCCTGGTAGGTAGAGTGGTATATTGTGAGCCTAGAGTCAGCAGCCCGCACCCACCACTAAAGCTCAGCAACCTTGGTGTATGTTACTTTTAAGGTTAAGCGGCTCTTACAGTGAGGCTCAAAAGACTGTGAAGTAAACAAGACAGAGGGTCTCAGGTGAGCATTCAGGTGGGAGGGACAGCCTGCTGGGCACTGTCCTGGTTTTTGTGGAAGAAATTGGGTTGCCAGCTCATGGGAAGAAGAGGAAAGAAAGAAAGAAAGTCCAGAGCAAACCATGCTATATTGAGCAAGCAAGATGAGCTTTATACCCATCACTTCCCACTCGCGTTTCACTGAGAACCCAGTCTCAACCTCCTCATTTCCAACTTCCGGGGGATAACTGGGAGACGCTGCCTCTAGCGGGACAGCCTTGTCCCCAGCCCAAATCTCTTTTGCAGAAGATGGGAAGGATGGATTTTGGTAGACCGTGGGCTGGCTGCCTCTGCTACTTAAGCTTATCTGTAATGTGGACACGCTAACAGAATGTACCCCACAGGGATGCTGTGATGGTAAATGAACTCATATGTGGGCTGTTTATAAACTATTAGTTTGGTGATGCCATGTGGTTTAGAAAAATAATGACCGTGCGCTGTGAGTTCGTACATCTGTAGTTAAGATTCTGTTTCATGTCCTTGTGAGGTGAGCACCATGACACAGTGCCCCCATTTCAGAGATGTGTAAACTGAGGCTCAGTGATGAGGGTTCACACACACACACACACACACACACACACACACACACACACCGGCCCAGCCTGCCTGACTCTCTCCTGCCACCCCCAGAGCTGTCCTGGTTCCAGACTGTCGGGGAGTCTGCGCTGGGGGTGGAGACCTTCTTCTACCAGAGGGAACCCCACATCGTCCTAGCCCAGCCTTTTGCGGGTCGCTGCCTGGTCCTTACTTGGGACTACAGTCTACAGCGCTTCCAACCCAAGGAGGAGCTGTCTGGTGAGACCCCTTCTGCCTTTCTCTCCTCTCGCCTGCTCTCCTGGCACCCAGACCCTACTGGGCCAGCCTGACCTGCCTTCCTGCCTTCCCTACCCCCCAGCGCCCTCGGTGGTGTCCTGCAAGCCGCTGGTGTTGGGTCTGCGCCTCTTTGTGCTGGCCGCCCGCCTGTGGGGAGGTTCGCAACTGTGGGTCCAGCCCAGCCCCGGCCTGCGCCTGGCCCTGACACAGGCACTGGCCCCGCGGCAGCTGTTGCGACCCAATGATGCTGAACTGCTCTGGCTGGATGGGCAGCCCTGCTTCGTGGTGGCCGATGCCTCCAAGGCGGGCACCACCACGCTGCTGTGCCGTGAGGGGTCCGGCTTTTACCCGCGTCAGAGCCTGCACGCCTGGCATCGGGACACAGACGCCGAGGCCCTGGAGCTGGATGGACGGCCCCACCTGCTGCTGGCCTCCATGTCACAAAGGCCTGTGCTTTTCCATTGGGTGGGCGGCCGCTTTGAGAGGCGCACGGATATCCCTGAGGCCGAGGACGTCTATGCTACACGCCACTTCCAGGCTGGCGGGGATGTGTTCCTGTGCCTGACGCGTTACATTGGGGACTCCATGGTGAGGCTTGTCCTAGCAGGGCCGCACAGGCAGAGGGGTGCACACGCCGCCATGTAGGAGGTGTAGCACTGACCACCCTCCAGAGCTGCTTTCTCACACTGAGCCCACCTTACACGCTGGCCTCTGTCTGGCCCTACCTCACATGCTGAACTTTCAACTCTGACTCTAAGACTGGGACAGCTCACTAAGTATCTCCCCATCAGATTCTACTCCCCAAACTTTGACTCTGAAATTAACAACCACTCACATCCCTACCCTGAGATGCAAAGCCCTTGGAGACTGAGGCTGGTGTGAAGCTATTCCCACCCTGCCTCTAAGTAACACTGGTGGGTTACCAGTTGGGCTGCTAACCACAAGGTCAGCAATTTCTAATCCAATAGCCTCTCCGTGGGAGTCCTGGTGAGGCGCTGTGGGATAAAGCACTAGACCACAAGGTCGGTTTGAACCACAAGGTCAGTGGTTCAAACTCACCAGCCGCCCCTTGGAAACCCTATACAGGGTCACTGTGAGTCAGAACCGACTCCACAGCACTTAACACCAGCCTCTCCGTGGGAGAAACATGGGACTTACTGCTCCTGTAAAGGTTTACAGCCTTGGACACCCTACACACTGCCAGAACCAATTCAATGGCCACACTACCACCACCACCACCCTGCCTCCATCACGTCCCATCACTCCATGTCCTCTGTCCTATATTCCCTTCTCTCTGTTTCTTAAACACTCCAGTCCTTAGGGTCCCAGTAAGGATTTGTGTTTTTACCAAAAGCCAGGGGAGAGATCTGAGCTGACTCAGGTGCTCACCTCACAGGGAGGGTTTCTTTATGGAGAACAGACTGTGGGGGTGGGGCAGGGAGACCAGGGAGACAGCAGGCTGCTTCAACGGCCCAGGTCTGAGAGAGCTGGTGCTAAGCCAGGGGGCAAACAATGGAAGTAGGAGAAAGGTAAGTGGGCTTCAAAAAGTCTATGGGGAAATTCCATTACCTTTCCATTTCATTTCTCCATAAGCTTTTTGAAGCCCCCTTGTATAGCTATTGTCGGTAAACTGATAGGATTTGCTCACTGATTCTATGTGAGGTTTTGGGGGGGTGGGGGGAAAACAAGGCCCTCAAGAGCAACCCCAACATTTGTGGCCTAAGCAACATATTTCCAAAGATAAGAAAGTTGCAAGAATCTGGGGACCCACAAGCCTTCTATTTCCAAGCGGTTCCCAGTCTTGCAGACCCTGGAGGGCTACGGGCAGCCTGGCTCTTCTGAGACCCCCCAGTCCTAACTAGTGATTGCCCCCACAGGTCATGCGCTGGGACGGCTCCATATTTCGCCTGCTTCAACAGCTACCTTCACGTGGCGCCCATGTCTTCCAACCTCTGCGGATCGCCAGGGACCAGCTGGCTATTTTGGGCAGCGACTTTGCCTTCACTCACGTCTTCCTTCTCGAGCCCGACAAAAGGCTTCTGGAGCCACTGCAGGAGCTGGGACCCCCAGCCTTGGTGGCCCCCCGAGCCTTTGCCCACGTCGCAATGGTTGGCAAACACTTTCTCTTCGCTGCCTGCTTCAAGGGCCCCACGCAGATCTACCAGATTCGTGAGTTAGACCTCAGTGCCTAATACCACAGCTGGGGGACTGGGGTACGCGTCCTAGACCTCTGGATGTCCCCTTTACTGGTCCCCTGTCCTAACTTGGGGTGATGGCAGGTTCTGTGAGACGCTGACCACACGCCAAGTTCACCAGTCACAGGTGAACTTCTTGGAGGATCTAGGTCCACTGAAGGAAATGGAAGGCCCAGCCTCTGGGACCTTCAAAGCTGTCCTTCCAGTCTGTGCTGGGCTCAGCTGCTTCCACCAAGGTGACTTGGAGGCTGAGGCTGGGCCACTGAACGAAGTGGGAGTAAGTGCTGAGATCCACGAGCCCTACAAATTCCTCTAATCTGACTGCACCATCCCCAACTCTAAATTGAAGAAGAGACAACATTCCCATTCCCTCTAAACTCAATCTGGCCAATAGTTTTTAGCACCTTTCTCCATGAAGTCATCAGTAACTGGGCAGTTTTCCCTGCCCGGCTTCAGAACTCCCTCTGCAGCCTGTGCGTGCTTGCCCACTTGTGCCTTCTCTCTTGTGCATGCTCTGAGGGAGAGGGGAAAGGCAGGAAAGGACGCAGTATTGTGGGGAGTTTGGGTTACCTCCCCAAGTGGAGCCAAGGATGAAGACAGAAAGTGTATGAGCTTAATAAACATGACGTACACCCACCTCACTGTCTTATTGGCTGCTGTAGGATAACCTCTGGACTGCTAAACACCAGGTCAGCAGTTTAAACTCACCAGCCACTCAAAAGGAGAAAGATGAGGTTTGCTGCTCCCACAAAGATTTACAGCCTCAGAAACCCCATACAGAGTCGCTATGAGTTGAAGTTGAGTCGATGGCAATGGGTTTGGTTTTTTTTTTTTTCTTTTCTTTTCTTTTCTTTTATTGAGAGTTAGGGGGGTCTCAGAGGAGTCTGAGGCTCGTTGGAAGATATCACGCTTTGTGGTCATTAGATGTTCTTGGGGGTTATGGTGGGAGTTATTTAAAGGCCTCACAGGAACATTTGGAAAGGTCTTTTATAAAAAGTGGGGTCTCAGAGTTGAGAGTGAGGACATAGAGTCTTATTTAACATTTGGATGTTTGTAACATGGCAGGGTGAAATGTCCCAGAGTCCCATCTGATTAGATCCTTCTTTGGCTATTGGAAAAATTTCAATTGCATATATGACTCCCATGACCTGGGAGGTGTACCCCTTACCACCTACCAGACCACAAAGAGGCAGGTCTTTGGTTTTTCCCAATAAAGAGATTCAGCTGCTGGCTTCCATTTCAGCCTGCGCTCACTGTGAGTCCACCTTCTCTCAGCCCTCAATGCACACTTACGGAGTCTCAAGACCGTTTGTACAGGGGGCGAGATTATTTTTTGATTAAAAACTGAATAAAGAGATCCCCTCCAATGAGAGGTATGATAAGACCCTTGCATGCAGTCTGAGGAGAAGAGGGAGAGGCTCATTGTGTAATTCCAGCCCTTGAATCAGTCAGAGGAACGTGCAGAGCCAGGAACTGGGGAAGAGGAAGGCCCTTTGCGTTCCCTCGGCTAGTCTGTCCTCAGCAGTTGTGGGCAGATCCTGGGAAAGATGATGAGGTCAGGGTGTGTGGGTGGATAGTGTTCCTCCTACCCACTCCCAACATGCACATGCATGCACACACATTCCGTTCTGTTCAGCCCTGTTCTGTCCCCTGTCTTACCTGGAGTGATGAGAGGTGGGACTTCGCCTGCACGGTGACTAGGGAAACAAAAGTGATGCGATCTGTATCCAACCCAATTTGCCCTTTTCCTCAGGGCTAGAGGATGCCCAACTTGCCCAGACGTGCCCTTCTGACTATTTCTCCATGGTAAAAGAGTATAATCCCAAGGGCCAAAGCATTTCAGGATTTAAACCCATCTGGGGATTATTATTATTAACTATGAAATAAACATGGAAAAATCTTAGTGGCAAGAATTCCTCAGGGCAGGGCCTAAAGTCCGATTCTCTTGCTGCAAGATTTAACTCTTTCACCCCTGTCCAGCATGGGACAGGCTCTTTGGGAACCCATTTTACCTGGGTTTCTGGCTGAACTTGCATTTGCATTTGCCACCTGTAGGAGAGAGGGGAATGGTCAGGGGAAGGGAGCCACCACCCTGCCCTCTGGTACCCTTTCATTCCTACACTCACTCATGAGCACGATGATGCCTACGGCACACAAAACCCCTGCGCAGATAAGGCCGCCGACCCGGAGGTTGTACCAGTCTAGAAGAAAACCAGAGGGGACCCTTTAGACCAGTTTATGTCTTCCACATCCACTTGACAAATCTGTCTCATGTACCTATAATGTGTAGGGCATGGGGGATACAGTAAACAGATAACAATGCCAGCCCTTCTGGTACCTACACCAACAAACAAGATATATCCTATAGGGTCAGGTTAGAGATAGTTGCTTAAAGAAAATGAAGCCATTTCCGAGGTTAGAAAGCCAAGAGGCAGCTTGGTGAGAGGAGGACGTTCTGAGGAGGCCATATCAGAGCAGTGACCTGAAGGAGGTGAGGGAAGCAGCCATGCAGAGCATGGAAGAAAGGGTGTCGTCAGAAGGAACAGCAGGAGCGAAGGTCTGGAGGCTGGGAGTGTGCCCTCCCTGTCTGAGGACCTGATGGATGCTAGTGTGAATGCACAGAGTGGGTGCTGGGGGAGTGGGCGGAAGTGAGGGAGGCAAGAGGTCAGGGCAGACCAGGCGACTCCTGGAGGCCATGCAGAAGATTTGGGTCAGACAGCTGAGCTGCCCCAAGTCAATCCTTCTCGGAGCAGTGGCTTCCTGTGAGCGGTCTTCACTTGCTGTGTGCTCCTCTTTTGCTGGAGGAGAATCCTCCCAAGACCAGGTAAACATCCCTTGTTCAGCATCCCGTGTTCTAATCCTAGACCCTCCCGGTCCTCACTCTTTCACTCACGTCAGCCCCGCATCCAACCTTGTGAGGGGCTCTCACACAACCTTGTGTGGCGGGGAGGAGGGTCGGTACAAGCTCTCACCATAGTAGAAGGGACTGTCTTTATCTGCAAAGAGAGAAAACACACCATGAGATGCAGACTGCAGCAGAAGGTGGTCCTGAGAGAGGTCTGGGCAGGTGGAGAAGTCCAGTCTGACTCACCTTCGGGGTCATTGGCGTCCAGGGAAGGCAGGCCTGGTGAGGAAAATCAGGGAAGGAGGAGAGATGGTGATGTTGGCTTTAACAAAGCCCATTAACAGGGCCGTGGGTCCCTTGAAGGACAGCTCCCCACCTCCCAAAAGTCCAGCCACAGACCCCGTGCCCCATTACAGAGATGTGGAGTTCCCCACTTGGTCCACAGCTGTCCATTACAACAGCATTTTCCCACCAGAAATATGATTTAATCTGGGGCCCTATATTTCCAGACACCTTAGTAAATCAATACCTTCTGCAGAAACAGAAGGATTTTTCTGGTCAAAATGACAAATGGTTTCAGTCCCAGGACCCTGTTTCCCCAATGCATCATTCTCACAGCCATCCTCTCCATGAGTCCACATCTGCTCCCCACCAGTGTTGGGGTCTGTTCCCCATTCCTCTTGAAAGCAATATACTGTTTATAAAGCTACATGCACTTAGTGAGATACATACTGAAATCAACTTATTCAAAAATGCAACTTTAAGTCACCACCCTGGTTGGAATACCAGTAGTCTGGAAGGGAGGTACAAAGAGAACTCCAAAAGTATTAGAATCCAATTCTGGTTGGACGACATGGTGGTTGTGGCTCACCTTTAATCTGAGTCGTAGCTCTATTCTCTTTGTTAAAGGGAGATTTGCATTTATTTCATTCTATTTAAATAAACACAGAGTGCTTGCTCCGTACCAGGTGCTGTTCAAAGTGTGTTTCAAATATTAACTCGTTGAAATCCTCACAAGGACTCTTCGAGTAGGTAATGCTGTTGTTAAGTGTTGTCAAGTTGGTTCTGACTCATAAAGACCTTGTATAGGTGGGTTGTGGGTTAGAACTGCTGACCTTGGGGTTAACAATCCAGTGTTTATCCTACAATGTGCTACTCATATTATTATACTCACAGAGCCCCTTCTTTGTCTTTGAACTATGTGTTTGGAGTCCTGGTGTGATGCTGTGGGATACAGCACTGGACCGCGAGGTCGGTGGTTCAAACTCACCAGCACTCCTTGGAAACACTACACAGGATCCCTATGATTGGAAACTCAACAACATCACTTAATAACAGCATTTACAGTTGGGAAGCTGAGACACAAAGGGTTTTGGTAACTTAGTCAAGGTGCTGTATTAACCAGTAAACTCCAGGGTACCTCTGAAAATAAAGTTACCCACTTCAGTTGCATTGGTTACAACTCACAGTGACCCCACAGCACAGGGTAGAACTGTGCCCTCGGGTTTCTGAGACGGTTCATCTTTATGAGCGGAGCAGACAGCTTCATCATTCTCCTGAGGAGCGGCTAATGGACTTAAACTGCTGACCTTGCAGTTAGACATTCAAAGCTCAACCCACTGCACCATCAGACGGTGTTGAAGAGTAACATTGAGCTGAGCCTCCTGCTTGATGTCATCAGAAGACACGGAAGGGAGGGGTAGATAGTGGCTTTCTATCGGTAAGGAGTCCCTAGAGGTTACCATGTGGCACAATTCTAACATTCACCACCTCAATGAGGAGGCAGGAAAGCCCCAGCTAGACACTGTGGCGCTGTCGGATAAAGCACTGGGCAATATGGTTGGTATGAACCACAAGGTTGGAGGTTCAAACTCACCAGCCGCTCCTTGGAAACCTTATATAGGGTTGTTATGACTCAGAACCAACTTCGACAGCACTTAACAACAACAGAGACACACACAAGGCTTGGCTGCTGCCCAGCTGAGGAATTCAGGAGAAAAGACAGTTCCAGGTGTGGGTACTCACCTGCTAAGAGGACCAGCAGGCTCAGGACCACCTCCTGCATGTCGGTGAGCTGGGCTGTGGGTCTGAGGAAGAGTGTCCAGCTTTAGCGGGGCCACCAGGGACACCACCCTCCAATACTGCTGCCCACCTGAGGGGTTCACAGCTCACCTGGGGCAGGGGTTTGGCTTTGACACCCGCTGGGCTGAGTGATAAGGAGTTGAAAAGTGAAGTGGGGGCTGGGTGGGACCTAATGAGGAAGCAGAAGAAAGAACATTTTGGATATAAACATCACTTTAAGTGACTCGCCCTTCTACCTACAGTCACCTCCATTTGCAGATGGGAAATGAAGTCTTTGAGCAGGTGCCCAGGGTCACCCAGGAAGCGAGGCTTAAACCAACCTGGCACAACAATAGCTGTTTCTCACTCAGGGACTGCCAGGGCCTGGGGCGTTTGGGGGAAAGGGATGTTAGGAGCCAGGTGGCAGGAGGCCCAGGTGGCTGGGAGTGTCTCCCACAGACAGCTCGGAGCCTGCCCAGCCCTGCCCAGACTTTGCAGATCTCAGGCTGGGCCAGGGTCTGAACCTGAGCTGGCATCTCAGGAGAACAGACCATGAGGAAGGGAGACTTTGAGGGTGGGAGGGGAAGACACATGGAGAAAAGAACAAGACAGCTGCCAGCTCCCAGCCCAGCTTCGGCCAAGACCCCTGTTCCTGCGCCTGACAGGCCCCTTCTCCGGACCTCCAGCCAGGCTTTAAGCCCTCTAACCCCTGATTCTATCATTCCAGCCCCTGGCTCTGCCCCCACTTCAGCCCTTGGCCTTGCCCTCACCATAGCCCCCGGCCCTACTGTCACCCTAATCCAACCCCTGCCCATATCCCACCCCACCCCACCCAAGACCCTGTCCAAATTTCTCTTCAGCCCCAGCTCTAACCCCTGCTCCAGCCTAGTTCCCCTCAACGCCTGATCCCACCCAGTCCTTCCCCAGCTCATCCAGGTAGGCCAGAAAGAACACATTTCCTTCCTAACTCTGGCCTAGCATCTGCCCCCTCCTCCTACCACCTTGTGTATCAGTGATAAACCCCTAAGTCTCTGTGGCCCCTGCCTAGCCCCTAACATATCATAATTATGATGCCGTTGTTAAGTGCCATCTTGTCCGTTCCGACCCATAGTGACCATGGATAGGGTTTCTAAGGAGCAGCTGGTGTGTTTGAACCGCTGACCTTGAGGTCCAGCGCATTATCTGCAGCGCCACACTGGGGCCCCATAATTGTGATAGCACAGCTAACACTCCGCCTCACCACGTGCTTGATGATGCCACGTGCTTGATGAAAACATGCAGTTTTCACCCCTTTGGTCCCCCTTGTGGCAGAACACTTGCTTAGAGGGAATGGTGATCTCAGGGTCGAGATGGGAATCCGGGAGGTCTGAGTGTCCAATCACTAAGCCATCTTGGTGTTTCTTCCTCCTACTTCTTCTGCAAACTCCTTTGGGTCTCTAACCCCATGTGACTCTCTAGCCAAAGCCTTAGGTCTCTTCCAGCAAAGAAACCCCATTGATCATTCAAACACCTTACTTCTGCTTATCATTTTAGGGGGTCCTCGACTCTAACCGTGGGGACCACAGACTCAGTTAAAAGGCCATTGTGCATTCCCTTCTGGGTTTCCGCAGAGACTCCCATCCACAGCTGGAGAATGTGTCCTCATCCTGAGTTTCTGTTTCCGGCACATTCAAACAGCCTTCTCCATCTCCCTGTGACCGACTGCCCCAGGTCCTGGAAATCCCCAATGGCTTTCCACTTTCCCATTTGTCGTGTAGAATCAAGTGGCCACTTTGGTTTGAGCACCCATTTCTTGCAGGAAGAGGGCTTGTCGGCATTTAGAACCAATATTCCTAAGGCACTGGAGAACTCATGGAGGTTTGAGATCCGCTAGTGTGGTTCCAGGTTTGGAGCTGGGCTGTCCATCCAGGTGTCTGCTACTCTGTGATGATACCAATGCTAACAACCGACAGTGCTTTCTGAGTGTTACTCCACGTTCTTCTCGGCACTTTGCATTTCCTCGCTCTTATAATCGCCACAGATCCATGAAGCCAACCTTATCATTTCCCTGCGTAGTGGTCACTGCTTCCATTGACTTGTAACCCCAGTGACTTCAGGTCAATGCTGCATCCTCCCTCATCCTGTGAGATTCAGCTCTTAAGCCACTTTCCATGAATGCTCCAAGCCACCCCGTGTACCTACTACCAGCGAGTCGGTTCCCACTCACAACCGTCCTAGGTAGGGTTTCTGAGTCCAAGTCCTGGGGTGGCGCTGTGGGCTAATACAAAGCCGTTTGAACTGCAAAGTCGGTGGTTCAAGCTCACCAGCTGCTCCTTGGAAACCCTCTACAGGGTCTCTATGGTTTGGAACTGACTCAACAGCACTTAACAACAAATCTATGAGAGCAGAAAGCCTCTTCTTTCTCCTGAGGAGTGGCTGGTGGATTCGAGCTGCTGATCTTATGGTTAGCAGCCCAATGTGTAACCCAGCTTCTTCCGAACCTGCAAGATTTCCCCATTCCACAGGAGACACTGATGCGTGGGGACCACTGATGCATGGGGACCACTGATGCGTGTGCACTGGAATGCACAGCAGTGTTGGGCCCAGGTTCTTCCAGAAATACTGGGAGCTGCATGTCTGGGCATCTGCCCTCAGCTTACCCCTTCAGGCTGCTGTTTGAAGAGGCCTGGGGACTACTCCAGATCTGATTGCTGGTCAGTGAGACAGCTAAGAGAGGAGAACAGCCATGTGGCTGGGTGCCCATTTCCTGTCCACTTCTCTTTGTTCCTCCCTGGGTTCTAACACAAGCTGTGAACCATCTCAGCAGAGCTCTGGTTCTGTGTTGCCCATCTGACTATTGCAATCCCCTCTACTCCCCCATGACAGTGGCCGGGCCTTCAAAGGTGTACACTCTTCCTACACCTCCTAACCATCTCTACACTTCAGTCACCCCAGGAAACCACCACCCCCTTCTCCTAGAGGTCTCCGGGAACCATATGTCGCCAAGAAACCTAGACACCTCAGGCCCGCCCCGCTACCTCCAATCTACCTAGGTACCCTTGGTCCACCACCCGTCTTCCCACACTACCCACCCCACTGTGGGCCTAATCTTCAGCCCAGTTGGCTGAACCAGCCCCCAGACAGAGGAATGGTGGGGTTTGGAAGTGAAGTCGAATGAGCTTGGAGGGAAGCGGTCTCTAGTCACTCACCTGTAGGGTTCAGCAGGCTGAGTTGGAGGTTCAGGAGAGAAAGCCAGCCTGCTGCACCTGAGCTCTGCCTTTATCCACAGCTGCCACGCCCTGAGCAAACCTGGGCAGGTAGAGAACGAGTTAGACTCCCTGTAGCTCTGAGGCACCCCCACCCAATTCCTGTTCTTAAAGAGACAGCTCCACTTCCTTCCCAGTCAGAAGCCGGGCAAACGGTTTTCCCTCTTAATGCCCCAGCAGCATTAGATGAGGTGGAGGGGAATCAAACGGGCTGGGAGTCACCCATCACATTAGGAGAGGGGGGCTTTCTCTAGTCTCATTCCCCCAGAAAAGGATCTCAAAGGGGGAAGGTTCTGGGGTCTCTATTAATAGAGTTGCTATATGGCAGAAGTGGTCAAAGAGGGCATGCTAGAGGAAGGGAATGGTAGAGATTGGTGGTGGTGGTGGTGGTGATGTGTTGTGGATTCAGTTCCTACTCACAGCGACCCTGCACAGGGTTTCTAAGGCTATAAATCTTTACAGGAACAGAAAGCCTCATCTTTCTCCCACGGAACACTGATAGTTTCCAATTGCTGACCATGAGGTTAGCAGCCGGGCTCGTAACAGCTACACTACCAGAGCTCCTTTGGTGGACACTATGGAGGTTGACTCCCCATCTAGGCCACCTTTTGCTGTGAAGGCTCTGCAGAAAATGCTACTTTGACTGAGGCTGTGAGAGGAGATTGTGGTAAGAGTAACAAGGGCAGGATTAGGAGGGATGTTGTTGGTCATAACCCCACCCGGCCCTGGGGACACTCAGAACTGGCTCCCAAGCCCCAGGCCAAAATTTCTGGGGATAGAGGGAGCAGAATGGCAGGATGCCTGGGTCCATGGAGGGGCAGAGGGGTGGGGGGCCTCCTCCTACTCCACACAAGGTCTTCTGCACTGTGCAAGGCTTCCTCTTCCTCCCCTTCCTCCCTGCCCCCACCCCTCATGCCATTCTCTCCATCTGGGGTCTCTGCAGGTCCCCACGTGGCCCCCCCCTTGGGATGCCCCCTCCCCCCAATTCCGCCTCCTTAGACAGAAGGACTTTTGTCTGGGGGCTGGACAGAGAACAAGGCGCCTTTGAATGGCTGGCAAGGGATTGGGGTCACGAGGAGGGATAGGGCCAAGAAAGGGGTGGTTCTAAGCTGGCTACCAGTTGGACTTCAGGCGACCCTCAAACCAACCCCCATTGTCAGTGTGGGGGTAGGTAGGAGGGCCACCAGAACCAGGCCAGGGAGGGGGTCCAATTGAGAATGTGTGGTACTGGACAGGGAAAGAGGTTCTCTGAATCAGGACTCTAGGGCAGGGAGTAAAGACCCCTCACTTCTCTTCTGGGAAGGGCAGGATGAAGGGAGTGTTCACCCACCCATTTGCTTTCTGAATGTAAGCTCCTCAGGTAATTTCCCAATCCCAGGTCCTAGACCCTCACCCTCAATGAAGGGAGACCAGTCCCTACAGGGAGTGGAGAAGACACTTGAGATAGAGTGTAGTCAAAGAGGAAGATGCTAGGGGACATAGAAACAGAGGGAGGGACACCTGGCAGAGAAGGACCCTGGTCAGTTAAGGGAGACTTTGCAGCTGGACGCGTAACATCTCTTGCCTAGACACTTCCAATAATGCAGTGGCCCTGAGAAGACCCCTTTGGTGGTCTTGGAAGTAGAGTGGTGTCTCCCTCTGCTGGGAAATTTAGGAACTGCAGGAGCCAAAGAACAAGCTGGTGTGGGAAGGTGGGCTGCTCTGACTTCCGTATATTTATTTGTGCCAGAGTCTGTATGAGTTTGCCAAAGGGTTCAGG